GTTTTTTGGTGGAATCTTTTGGGTTTTCCATATAGAGTATCATGTCAACTGCGAAGAGTGAAAGTTTAACCTGCTCCTGGCCAATTTGGATGCCTTTTATTTCTTTGTGTTGTCTGATTGCAGAGGCTAAGACTTCTAATACTATGTTGAATAACAGTGGTGAGAGTGGACATCTCTGTCTTGTTCCTGACCTTAGGGGGAAAGCTCTCAGTTTTTCCCCATTGAGGATGATACTAGAGTTGGGTCGTTCATATATGGCTTTTATGATCTCGAGGTATGATCCTTCTATCCCTACTTTCTTTAGGGTTTTTATCAAGAAAGGATCCTGTATTTTACTTGACATGTTATTTTTAAGTGTCAATTCTTTATGGCCAATATGTAGTTTTTATTGCTGTGGCTTGGGTTATCATATTTCTTATTAACTAGTAATAATAAAGGCACAAATTTGGTTAAAAACTGCATTAATATTTGTGTGAAAATTTGAACATGTCTAACCAGAAGTAAACCCTAATAGAAATAAATGCAAGATATATCATCCATCACAAAGATACATGTAAAAACATAGATCATACAGTACAAAAACTGCTATAAAAGAGCATTTAAAAAATCAGAAAGCCTCGGGGCGCCTGGGTGGCGCAGTCGGTTAAGTGTCCGACTTCAGCCAGGTCACGATCTCGCGGTCCGTGAGTTCGAGCCCCGCGTCGGGCTCTGGGCTGATGGCTCAGAGCCTGGAGCCTGTTTCCGATTCTCTGTCTCCCTCTCTCTCTGCCCCTCCCCGTTCATGCTCTGTCTCTCTCTGTCCCAAAAATAAATAAACGTTGAAAAAAAAAAAATTTAAAAAAAAAAAATTTAAAAAAAAAAAATCAGAAAGCCTAGAGGAAAGGACAAAAGAAGTCCCATTCATATCAATTATAATAATAAAAATAATTGAGCTGAAAGAAAATCCTCTTAGGTAAGAATTTCCAAAGTAAAGTAAAAACACAGAATCTATATATATGATATTCATGAGATTCACAAAAAAGAGACACAAGAAGTGTAAAAATAAAGCAGCTAAGTATAAGAAATACAAACAAATGTCACAATATTGATGATAAATTGTAAGGTGAGAGGTATGAAATGGGTGTGCTATGTCAGGAGTGTCAGGATTGGTAGAAAAAGAACATACACACACACTATAAAAGTAAATTCAGTTTCATATTTCATCCTCTAAGAATACATGATCTCACTGGAAACAAAGTGGCCTCTCAGGGCAGTCACAGACACAGCACGTGACAGCACCACTTACTCTCTCAGCCCCAGAATCCTCAGCAGAACCAGCCCCAGATTACATGGTCTCTGCAAAGTAGAAGGTTACTACTCTGATAGTCATTAGATTCAAGGTTCATAGTCCCATTCTGGAGAAATTTTCCCAACAGTCTATGTATCTCAGTTTAAAGGAAGTTGACCAAATTCGGCCTTCTTAACTGGTGGAGAAAGGAGAGCCAGCACCCAGGTGTCCTTACCAACATCTCCACCCCCAGTTTGCCAGAATTCCAGAAAGCCCTTTTCTCCCTCCACAGGAATAGAGATTTACTTATACTGATATGTGGTGGAATTTATAGTGAAGATCTAATTGTTTTGACCTTAATGCACATAATAAATATTGACTCAAAATTATTATAGTCAGTTTATTACAAATACAAAGAGAAGATAAAAGTACAATAAAAGCAAGAGAATTTAATATGCATCTTGACATACAGGAAGACAAAAATAAATAAGGATGGAAATAAATATTTAAATCAGGTAAATAAATCTGACTTAGAGAATCTGAATAAGGTTGATGTGACAGAAAATAATAGTCAGCATCTTTGAACACTCATCATGGGCCATTGTTACTCCTCTTTTATAGATAAGAAAACAGGGCATAGAGCCATGAGGCATGTGCTTGAGCAGCCTGGTAAGAGACCATGCTCTTAACCTCTTACTCTCCTACTTCCAGATAAGGTGAGCATAATTTGTCATCTAAATCAGGACATTCTGATAATCAAAAGGAGTGCTGTTGATGCCAGTACAGCAGGTGTAAATGGAGTATCCCAGCTCATCAAGCCATATGGTCCTCCCAGCTCAAAATAAATCTTTTATCCAATGAACAGAATACATCTTTTCCAGTGCATGTGGAACATTTACAAAAATTACTCATAGAAAAAATTTCCATAAATTCAATAAGGCACAAGCCACACTCTCTGTTCACAGTGCAATTAGTATATAATGCATCA